GAAAACATGAGGGGTGGAGTGACCAGTCAGGCCATGCATGTGATTTCCAAGCCAGCTCTTCCAGTCCCAAACAGTTTCAAGGGTATGCAGGGAAGGAGCTGGGCCAGTGGATTGGTAAGCCTGCTCAAGAAAACCAGAAAGTTGACTGAAATTTGAAGATGAAGTTAGGAAGGTGAACAAAAAGGGGCAATCATTACTGCTTACAGAAAAAACCAATGCACATCAGGTAATGAGTCGACAAATAAAAAACCTGATGTGCATTGGGAAAACAAAAAAAGAGTGATGACCATTACCTTGGGGTGTGAATGGAAGAGGTATGGAACTTTGTCTGAGCAGTGGAGAAGAGCTGGTCAATGTCTTCATGTGTATGCCCAACCAACAGAAAGCTCAGGTAGACCTCTTGGAACATATCAAGGCTGACCAGGAGACTGAGGAAGGCAAGCATGAAGACATTCTTGTTCTCAGCAGCACAATTGTCAGCCTGCAGGTAGAGGATGGTGAGTGTTGGAGGTGGTGTTAGTCAAAAGGTGAGTTTGGATGTGGTGAAAGAGTGTGGAGATGACAAGGTTAGCATCTTTTGGCCAAAAGGGCTGAGGGTGTAGAAAGAGGTGTTTGCCATGGCTGTGGTCAATGAGACCACCAAGAACCATGGTGAACCAGTTGCCAAAGTGCATCCAGGCCTTTGGCACAGGAGTGTGGGTGGGGAGAGGGAGTGGGTTGGAGTAGTCAATGATCAGGCTCATGTAAAGACTTGGTTGACTTGTTGCTTGGTGGCATTGGTCCTTGTAACTGAGGCATTCTGCAGAAGAAAGAGCAAGGTGGTGAGTCTGTGCACTTGCAAACTGTGCTGCCTCAAGAGGGCTTTTGGCTCTCAAGCGTTGCTGTGCAAAGTCAATGCAAGCAGAGCACTTGCCAAGGCGTGAGTTCTTAGGCAACTTCACATAGGCAAAGTGGGAAGCAATGTGTTTGAGCATAGCAGAATAGGTGAGCACAGGAACAGTAGAGGGATGAGCATTGGCACACATAGAGTGCACTTCTCACCAAGTCAAAGAAATAGGTAAGTGGATGGTGGCATCAGGAAGGCAATCTCCAATAACATCAAAGAA